ATTGCCCGACGCCCCGGAGTCGATGAAGATCGTCCATGGCTACTCGATGCTCTTTACGGTCGCCTCCACGACCAGCAAGCTCGGCTTGCATACACGTTTCGTGTTTAAGAGCATGGAGCTCTTCGGGGCTGAGCCTTATTGACCTCTACCCCTGTGAGGCTCAACAGAACTCAGTTCCTCCCCAGTAGGCCACTCCGCGCCTACTGGGTGATATTGTTTCCCCGCGACGAACCAGACTGGTAGGCGCTGGAACGATGGTTAGAAGAGCCTTGACGCGACTTGCGCAGGGGGCAACCGTTCCAAAGGTGACGGGCGTATACACAGACAAACCTCCGTCGTATATTTTTGTGCTGCTCGGCAGCTTAGAACTCGCTTTCTCGTCCTCAGCAGAGCTGGGATCCATGGACACAGACTCGCTCGACGAGCTGTTGGAGTGTGCATTCCAACCAAGTCTGCCGACTTGAAATTTAATTCGGCAGTCAATGCCACATTTACCGCTTCTTCGAACGAAAACAGATAAACACGGAAGACTTCCATTCTGGCCACGTCAGTGTGGAGGTCCTTTATAAGAACGGTCACATAGATCGCCTCGGGGAGAGAATCCGCTGCCATCCCGGCAATGAGAGTCTTTAACTCTTGGATAAAGTTCACCAACTCATTCTTGTCCTGTCGGATGACAAGGAAATACGATTGCAGGCAATATGCCTGGTTAGGCGGCGAGAACACTCACAAAAGCTGACGCTTCAGCTCCTTCCAGTAGAGGAGCGCAGCTTCAACCGAAGCGCCGAAAGTTAGTGCCCATTCTCACGTTCGACTCCCGAGCTTGGAGATAGCTAGCGCCACGCGGTGTTGCTCGTTTTGGACCATGACGAATGCCATAGCCATCTCGGCCTCTCTCACCCATAGAAGGAAATTCTCTCTATCCTTACCTCAAATGTTTTAACGCTCACCATGAGCGGCCTGGGTCGGAAGGAATTATCTGTCGTCGACGGTGGCGTCACAGACGCAGTCTACGCCGACAGCTTCTTCTGTAAGTGCTCTAACAGAGCATTTTCATATTTTGAAAATGCCTCTAGACGTGCGCTTATGGCCTCAGGCCCTAGCGCAACGCGGTGCTCCACACCCTCCGGGCCCAGCAGGGACATCAGCCTATAACGCCCGTCCAGCATTCCATGATGCAATTCGGATTCATCCTCACCGAGGACTAGTCGTAACGACTCAGGCGTAGATTGACTACGAATGCTACCAAGTGCAGCAGGGCTGCTGTAGCACTTTGCGGAGAGGAAGCTAAGCTAATGCCATCGACCTTACGTTCTTTCCAAAACGCAATCCGCTACTTCTAAGTACTAAAGCCCTACCAAGGCAAACGGTCACTTATGTTTGAAACTGAAACTTATTTAATTGTTTGAGCTGCTGCAGAGCCGCCGATATCTATGACCCCCTAGGTTCTCCTAGTTAAATATTAATACCTAATGAATATAGCAAAACCTACAATATAATAATATCAATTGTTACTGGCAATTCTGCCACGTGGTGGCTTCTTGTTACGGTGTAGCGCGTTCATAGTATTAACGATCAATCAGCAAGAGGTTTCGGATGACCCTACGCCAGTACATGACCCTCCACACCTGCCAGACATAAGAGAAAGGGACCACAGAGTGTAAAGATATTTGTCAGTGTTATAGATAGAACATCTGCGAGTACCTCAATGCACTTCGGTAGATAACGGATCTCTTTCTTCTTTGCATAGCCTCTGGTGACCTTCTCAATTTACAATTTAACGCGCTTTCGAGCACAAGTTGGCCTTGTAATCAAATTATAGCCTCTGCACCCTCCGGAATATTTCGGCGCAACCTTATCAGTAGAGAGACCCTCCACGAAGATTGTGAACTTTACCGCCTCCGAGACGGGGTGTACCACCATTTCAACGAGTAAAGCTCTCACTCTACAAGACAAAATATACCATCTCTTTCCTCTCCTCACAAGTGATCATAGAATTTGGGTGAATCACCATACGCTAATTTGGGCATCGGTCACGTTAACACTTTCTATATGAGAAACGACAGCGCGTGTATACTCATCCTCGCGCACAGCCTCATAGATGCACTGTTGCCTCATCTGAAGCATGGCATTTCAACGTCCTTTACTCAGAAAAAGATTTTATGTCTCTACCCTACTGAAAGCAGATGCGATACCTCGTGGTGGAAACAGTTAAAATTTCACCGACACCCGGTTAAGACGTTCCTGGAGTCTCTCTCTAATCTTTTTGCATAGCTGGTGAAAGCGTCCGGACAAGCTACTTTGGCGCAACAGCTCTTAATTATAAGATTTCCTTATCCTTTTAGCCGAAATGACAGGCATGACTTGCTACGCATATTTAGCTATCTCGAGAACAGACTTGTGCCCCTATTAAGACTAGCTCTCGGATTGACAATTAGTGCTTTTAAGTACAAAGAGATGCCGTACACCACGCAAAGAGGAAGCTATTACTCAACGAGCTCGGGGCAACTTTCGTACGTTTGTTGGGCTCGTACGCTCCACCAAGGAGCGAAACTCTCAGGTAACTCAGTACTTAAATCTGATTTCTACTTTTAATTGATAAACATTGAGATTTGAGTCAACTAAAAATAATATTTTTTCAACAAGAATCAAGGACGTGGTCGACGGACCTCTCCGTCAGTATCCTATCGCCTCATCAGTACCAGGGTTTGGTGCCTATGAGCTTCACACAGAAGTACATGCACCAAAATGCAGTACGCACCTTGATACAAGGTGCCGGTGGTACCTGTGATGGGCCTCTCTTTTGTATCTATATTTTTGAGTCTTGTCTTTTGTTTAAATTTAATATTATTCAACGTTATTTCTCTAATTATCCTCTAAGCTTGGGCAATGGCCAAAAGCCCCATTCTAGAAGCACCGCGAATAGCACGGTACATTCGCTAAACGTGAAATTCCTTTCTTTCTATTCATCTGAACGCTTTCTTGGCACGCTCTTTTGGCAACTTGTCCATTACCTTGCATAGCACTACACAAAACCAAAATATCTAAGTTATGATACTTGCGAGGTCTCGACAGATTTATCAGTTTATAACAGTTTCTTCATGTATAGCATTCTTCGATCGGGATCGCCTTAGAGCGTGTCTGATTGCTAAATTTGTAAAATCTGACGGCCAACTTCTTGACTCTCTTCACTCCTCAGATAAAAAGCTAAGAGACTTAGAAGGGGTTAAGAAACCGTATCATTAATACACTAGAACACTGTCGACGAATTCGGAATCAGCAACAGGAGTTATCGACCAATGAAAAGCAAAGTGTCAACTGCTTCTGAATACCATGCGCATCGTCCCTGAAATGCAAAGTCAAATACCTAAACGAAGGTCGAGTTCGGATTGATTGGCTCAAATCATGTCGGAACCTGGCGCCTAAAGAGGCGAAACATCAACAGTGGAAGAAACATTGAAGCATGCATATAAGAGGCTTAGACATTTTCCTTGCTTTCTAGACACATTTGTTGACTTTGTGACACCTGTATGGCTATAAAAATGTAAGGTCATAAATCTTAACATATATCTCTTAGACATCTCACTTGACCAAGAACTCGCGATCTCGAACTTCTTTTTTCATTTTAGTTGATAGTGCTATTCATTATAAAGTCTGAAAAATGTATCAACTACTGTCGAAATTTGCAGCAAATCCACTAATGTCTAAAATGCTTCCAATGATCAGATAATGGAATGACAAAAAGCATTTTAAAGTAGCGCCAGCACTGTCTTGCCTTTAATTTAACACTCCTATCAGAAGTGCAATCATTTCAGAGCGGCTTTAACTATCACAAGTCAAGTGCCTCTGGCTGATTTTTGTATTAGAGAGCGCCTGCACATCTTCAACTGTGCATCTACC